GTCCACGAGTGAAGCCTCCCAGTGTCAAGTTGCACCTGTAACACGACCGACTAACGTGCGGGATCCCTTCGCCAGGAGCCCTTCCAGTTGTCCATGAGTGTAGCCTCCCAGTCACCTGCAACACGATCGGATCGGAGGCGGTTGCTAACGTGCGGGATCTCTTTGCCAGGAGCCAGGTGGCTGCAGGACATGATGTGCAACAGAAGGTATAAATTAAGGCAATGTATCAAGTGCAAACCAACCTCTCCGTGCAAACCGTGCAAACCAACTGCGGGGAAGAGGTGGGAGGGAGGATTTGCAACCTAATTACACTTTTGCAAATCCTCCCTCCCACCTCTTCCCCGCAGTTGGTTTGCACGGTTTGCACGGAAAAGTTGGTTTGCACTAGATATGTTCCCATAAATTAAACCTGTGTTCAATAACGTTGATACCATAAGGGAAACCATGAAGATTATCAGCACGGTGAGCCTCCTGAGCACTTCCTTTGTATATAGCTAGCGGAGCGTAGCAACACATAGGATGGACAACAGAAGGAGCGTGGCCCTGTACACTGCCGCAAAGGAGTTGGCGGCCGCATTCTTTCCCTAGGGTCACTGGCCATCAAGATTTCGGCTGTTCCTTCGTCATCCTTGAGTTATGCAGCTGCAGGAAGCTAAAAAGTTACTACAGTACCTGTCACATCGAATGTTTACGGCCCATGCATAGAGTATTAAATGTAGACGAAAAGATAAACTAATTATACAGTTTGGTGGGAAATTACAAGACGAACGTTTTGAGCCTAATTAGTCCATATTTGAACACTATTTGCTAAATAAAAATGAACGTGCTACAGTAACCCCAAAATCCAAATTCCTACAACTAAACAAGGGCTAAAGGAGAAAAATCTATGATGGTGCATGGCATTTAAGGGCATCCATAGTAGTCCTATCAATCTCTTAATTGTTTGTCAGCGTTCTTTGTGATGAATGCCTGTTCCCACAGCCTGTGGTTGCTGAGAGCAAACTTACCTTATTTGAGGTTTAGGGGCTGTTTGGTTCTTTAGATTGGATTTTAGTCCCTGTCCAATCGAATGTTTGGATATATGTATGGAGTATTAAATATATATTAAAAAAATAACTAATTACACAGATTGTGACTAATTTGAGAGACAAATTTTTTAAGCCTAATTAGTCCATGATTTGATAATGTGGTGCTACAGTAAATATGTGCTAATGATGGATTAATTAGGCTTAATAAATTCATCTCGTAAATTAGTCTACTCCTGTGTAATTAGTTTTTTAATTAGCTCATATTTAGTCCTCTTAGTTAGCATCCGAACGTCCGATGTGACACGGACTAAACTTTAGTCCCTGAATCCAAACACCCCCTTATTCGTGCATATCAATATACAGTAATGATAGGATGCGGGCATTCGTACCTCTAGACATCCTGCACCCACATGGCCGCACTCTGCTCGTTGCTTCAGAGCGCGTCCGCACTACGTCTCTATATCTCCAAAACAAAAAAAAAGACAACGCCGCTAGCGGAGCTGCGCAAAGCCACTTGCCGCAGGCAGTGCACCAGCCCGCCGTGGCCTTCTCCAGCATGGCGGCACCGGCTGCACCCGCACCCCATCCCTGACTGCTCGCGTGCCCCATCCTTGGCTACTCCATGCCCCATCCCTGGCTGCTCCACAGTCTGCGCCACCATCCCGCGCCACGCCCCCATCCACCTCGCCCATCGTGGAAGGGGAGGCATGTGCCTGCGCGCGCCCCCATCAACCCGTCGGCAGGAAGGGGAGGCCTGCGCCCGCGCCTTGGTGTACGCTAGGCCGTTGACGTCTCCCTGGCTAGCTCATGTCGCAAGAGTATGTTTCAAGTATTTCAGAGGTATGTTGCAAGTGTTGTATATTAATGTTGCAAAAGTAGATCGGGATATTGCACATGTTGTAATGGTTATACACGTATGTTTCAAGTGTATGTTCCAAATGTTTTATTTGGTCCAGACTTATATTGCAAGTGTTTTATCTGAATGTTTCAAAAGTAGATCTGGATGTTACATATACATGCATGTTGCAAGCATATGTTTTAAGTGTCTCTAGGCGTTTTGTACGTATGTTTGCAAGTGCTTCATCTGGATGTTGCATTGCAAATGTTTCAGACGTTTGTTTCAAGTGTTTCATCTGTCTTTTTTATATATTGCAACTATTGCATCTAGATGTTTTAAAAGTAGATTAGGTGTTGCACATGGGATGCGTGTGGGAAGCGGCTGGTGGTGCGGACGAAGTCTAGAGTAGCGTGTGCGACATCTGAGACGGCATGGGCCCACCGCTGGTGCACTCGCTCCCTCGCTAGCAAGTCTGATATACCTGTTCCCACCACATGTGGTTGTGGGTGCTCGGCGTGTCACTCACAGGCTACTCTATCTTACATTCAGTAAGCCCTGTAACAACTGGCATGCATGTATGTGCTTCCCTGATCACCCGATCAGCAAATCAACACAATTATTACAGAAAAAACAGCTACAGGGCGTGGGCGATTGGCATGGATAGCAGGTGTGGAGAATGTTATGTACTTATGTAGTAGGACACTAGGACATGATGGAATGTTGCTCAGTTTCCTATTTTTCATTGTTTTACGATTTGTGGGCATATCAAGATTTGCACGCTGGATCGACGGTGGTAAATACGAGCTTTGATTATGCTGGTAGCCGTTTTTTGCCCTTCATTAATAGATTCTAGGCACTTATCAGTTATCACCATCGTGTGATCCTGTGTTTCGCGAGCCACGTGACTCCCTCTTGAATCTTGACTGTTATAACTGAACAACATAATTGTTTATGTCGTTCCACTTTATCAATTAGCATAGCATCTTCTTTCGCTGTCAGCTACTTAGTAAATCGACTCAGTTACATGAATCTGTCCTCAACTCATCAATGAAAAGGAAACACTGGCGGAATAATAAGTGAGCGAAAATTAGTTGTGTAGTCTGGAAAGATCCGAGAAACGTTAAATACTACACCAAAGATTTCATCTTCGTAATTACCACTGAAATAATGAACTCTTGGATCGATCGGCGAACGAGGCCGCCTGGACTGCCACGGGGATCAGCCAGAGGCGAGTGGTGAAGGCGTGAGGCAGCGCGTGCAACCCGGACTGCTGCTAGCTGTTGTGGTAGGCCGAGAAGGACGAGGACGAGTGGACGACGACAGCAGGAGCGGCTGCTGCCTCACCGGCGGCAAGCCGGCAACTGCTGCTACTGCTAGTGAGTGCCTCACCGGCGTGGGCGTCGGTTGCTGCAGCTGGAACCCACGCTCATGCAGTCTCCTCTTTGCTAGCGAATAGCTATCTCGGCGAAAAACTTCTTTCTTTTGGGATTTTTTCTAATATAGAGAAATATCTGTTTGCTTGTTGGTTTTAGCCAGGGCTTATCAATCAGTCAACAGTATTTTCCTCTCACAATAAATCAGCACCAGCTGGACTTATCAGCCCATAACCAACCAGCGAACAGACCGAAAAACTCGTTTCTAGACACCGTGGTAGCTACTTGGTCACTATGATTTTTCAGACAGGACCTATGTTACGGCTTCTCTGAAACTGCATTGTTTCGCATCGCCATGGGGCCGATCTAGGGTACCTCGCTGACATTTTTTTTTTGCTACTGTCGACGATGTCACACTATGCCTGTTCGTTTGACTGATAAGTCATGACTGAAATTACTGTTGGCTGATTTGTTGTAAGGAAAAAGTATTATTTGTTGACTGAAAAAGTATGGCTTATAAGCCCAAACAAACAGGGTGTATACTTATACTCCCCCCCGCCCCTCTTTGTCTTCTAGTGCCAACAAAATTGCCCCCCCCCCCCAGGCAGTCCTATAATTTCCGTTCACACTTCGCATCCTCTAATTAACAATTCGGAGTGTTCTCTAGACTCAAAGCCTCAAGGGTTCCCACTTTATTTCGATCTTTTACCCGTCCAAACAAACTGTAATTCAACCAGAGAGGGTTCAACCAAAGAGAGAATTCTGTATTTGACACCGAAATAAATCATTCTTCCGTATTTGATACTGGAAATTTTGAACTTTTTTATTTAACATCAGCTTGAAAATTCCTTCCGTATATGACACTTTCGTCCATTTAATGCAGTAACGGTGTCAAATGCCACCTAAAATGACATATATGCCCTTCTATATACCAACAACATGTAGTGCCAGATAGAAAAAAATAAATAGACATAATGACAAATAAGGAAAGCACAAATATCACAAATAATGAAACATAGCATTTTAATAATTAAAGAGTGGCAATAATAATCAATAAATTTGATGCACAAACTTCACAAATCTGACCACATTGTCAGCATACTTAAAAAACAAAAAAATATAAACACCTTGCACACCTCGCATTAGCTCAACAAATCCATACAATAAGGGTCTAAAGTTCACATGTCCAGGTTCATAAATATGCATGCATTATCAGGTTCATAAACATAAACACATGAAGGTCCATACATAAGGGGTCTAAGTTCACATTACAGAATAGCAGATTCATCATACACACATCAGTTACACTACATTATAGTTCATAGAGCATATGACTTACACATTGCCAAGCACATCTACATAGAGAATCACAAGCTTAACCTTCTCTCGCTTTTTGTGCTATTTGCACGACTACCAAGCTTAGCTGTTTTGTCTCTGGTACCCATTACAGGGCTGTTAAGTGGCAGCATAGGAATTTTTTTCAGGTTTGAAGCAAGCTGTTTCTGGGTCCTTTTAGCCTTCTCCTTTGTTCGAGAATGAAACTCGGTGGAAATCAGCAGTCCAGTGGGGGCTCATCATCAAATGGAGGAAAGCGCATTCGTTTAAAATGACGTCTATCCCTCCTCTCGACGCATCTGTGAAAGCACATTAAACAGAGAGGTTTATAAGCACAAAAGAAGACAGAATGTACATGAAACAACAGATTGTACAGATGCACAAAGAATAGCAGTTGCAACCATGTAAACGCAGCTGGGTATGTCGTTATAGAAGGATACGAGAAAGTCTGTAGATTGTTAACTGTGCAAGGTATATGGGTTCAACAACCCATGGGATTTCATTTACGAAAGTGATAGCCCCAGTGATATGATACAAGATTTTCACAAGGCGAACCTGAAAACAAGTGTGTATTAATCAAAAAGAATGCCACACGTAAACACAAAGGATAAGCTATTTAGCCATACATCTAAGGACATGAAAAATTATGTACCTGCTCCCAAGGCATCGGCATGTTCTCCAGCAGTTTGTACACAGCGTGGGGCACAAATTTGAGTGCTCCAAGATAAACACGCTTGTCGTGCCTGTACTTCTTGGAAGACATGTCTCCATGGTCCCTGTTAAATAAAATAAGGATAAATGAAGCGCATCAAAAATAGGATACACTCTACAAAGCAAATAGGTGTCATTGAAACTTCTAATTCTGCTGGATGGATGACAAATGCATCTATGTAGAAGGTACAACCAGCTTGCAAATGAAAGCTAAATGCATCTATTTTGGAGTTTCTCCTCCAGGGACGCCAGCTTTACAGGCAGGAACCAGAAACTCAGATCCCACAACAGTAAATGGAAACAGCAATGAACACCTAACCTAAGCATACCGACAACAAGGAATGGAACCCTAAGAATCCCACACAAACAGAAGTGCATAACCTTTCAACTGCCTATATAGAATCTCATTCTTAAATCTGCTGAACTCATTAATAGAGCTGCTTCTCCAGTCATCAGTCAAAACTGAACTCAAACTTACTCAAGGATAATTAACTTCCAACCATTGACTCGTGTCACAGAAAATTTCTAAAAATAATACTTCAGATTTTCCAAGAGAAGGTATAAATAAACAACAAACAGAAATTGATACACCAAAAGCAACGATGAATTGGCTAGCTTAACTAGAATCATCTGCGGATGCCTGCAGTGACAACGAAATCAAAAAGATGGTCCCATAACTTGAGATGGTGATCTAAAGCTAGCGCTGCGTCACAAACCAAAACAGCTAAAGTTACTACCATATCACTACCATGCCCTACATCATCAAAATAGACATAAATTGGGACTCAAGCCAACTTAAGGAAGGGTGAATGTGTGCATAGCCAAGTATATCAAAACATGGTTAAAGCAAAACCTGGATACTGCCCTAGCAGCTGTAGTCGGAAAGAACATCAGATTCTCTACTCGTGTAACATGTACCACCAAGCGAGAGGCCAGCCTACCCAATCAGTTCAAAGCTACGCACAACTACATAAACGCCTAAAACCATATCCACCATAGCTCGACACGAACCAAAAAACAAAAGTAGAACTTAGCCATGCGCATCTAGTAAAGCCTAAAACATCAAGGGGCAGGGCGGATCTGGAAGTTACCTAATGATTTTGCGGACGTGCTCAGGGGGGCATGTCCTCCTCCTGCGCCTCGACGAACCCGAACTTGCGCTTGTCGCCGTAGCGCTTGGAGTTGACCTGGTGCCACTTGCGGGCCTTCTCCACCAGCTGGGCCTCCAGCTCCGCCGGCGTCAGCGGCTTGCCGCTCTGCGGCGCCCCGGCCGGCGGCGGCGGGGGCGGGGGCTGGCCTGCCCCGGGCACCGTCGTGCCAGGGGGAGGCGGGGCCGCCGCCATCTGCGGCGGCGGCGGAGGCGGCGCGCCGTTCCACATCGGCGACGGGGCGGGCGCGGCGCAGCGGCCTCCCGCAGCTGCCGCTAGGGTCTAAGCGTCGTCAAGCCGGGTGGTGTGTGTTCGAGAGAGGTCGGGGTGAAAAGGGAAGGGGAAAAAAATGGGAGCCTTTTACTGCTGCTGCTCCACTGGGACCATCGCCAGGGGAGGCCGCTCCACGGCCTCTACGCGAGGACCTCGCCCCGCCGCGCAGCATCCTGGAACCAGCCCCGGCGGGCGAGGCCGTCCCGCCGCGCCCCCCGCCCCGCGAGATGGGGCCAGCGCCGGCCGGCGAGCCCGCCCCGCCGCCGCGTCCCCTGCCGGAAGCTCGGCCTGCCCCGCTGCCGCGACCCCTGCTGGACCCGCGCGTCGATCTGCCACCATGGGGAGACCTCGGCTAAGGGACCGGCGCCTCTAGCTGAAGGAAGGGCGCCGTGATTTCCTGGGCGCCGGCGGCCGACGGCTCCTCTGCCCCATCCTCATCTCCTCCGGCTTCCATCTAGGGTTTTGTTTTTTTTTTCACAGGAAGAGAAGACTGACGGGGGAAGAAGGGGATCCAGTGTGCGAGTTTCGCCCGTAGCGACTGCCGAGCAGTTGTGTGCGACCAAATTAAATACATGAGTATCTTGGTACTTATCAAGAGAAAAACTGACATGGCTAAGAAAGTGAACAAACGGATGGATGGTTTTAACGGAAGTGTCATATATGGAAGAAATTTTCAGTTGACGCTAGATAAGGAAGTTCAAAATTTCCAATACCAAATACGAAAGAGTGATTTGTTTCGATGCCAAATACAGAATTCTCCCTCAACCAAAAGTGTAAACAAACAAGATAGGAACCGACAAATCAACGCCGTGTTCGGCTGGGGCTGGCTGACTAGGCTGGCCAGCCCCCTCACATGGACACTATTCCAACGAACCAGCCAGCAGTACTTCTCTCTCACGTAAACGAACCAGCAACGATACGAATCAGCCAACCGAACAGGCCCTCGCAAGTCCCAGAACGCTAACTACCTCGCTTGCCTAAACATTAGCTCCGTCCTAGCCTACACCTGTAACAATCCATGGAGCAAAGATGGGAGCCTAAAACTTTTATTGGAAAAAACTAAGGACCCCAACTTTACAGAAGAGGGACCTTCATAATTCATATAGATCCTAATGATACCGTTAGATCCATCTCTGCCTGAAATCTACATAGCACCACCAGCAGCAACCTCTGAACCATCAGCGGCTTCAGTTCTGCCAAAGCAAGAAACATGTGGTCATCATTCATCAACAGCCAGTCCGCAAACAAAAACCCACTTGTCGATAGAGATGACATGGGATGGGACAAATATATTGTACCTCTCAATCCCTTCTCCAACCTCCATTCTGATGAAGTTACCGATTGTTACTTTAGAACCGACCTCTTTCGACAAGTCATTCAGCACGGTCTGAAACGAATGACACCAGGAACTAAAGCTATCAGAGACAAACAATCCAGACAGTAACATAATCAAGAAGTACAAAACCCTATCGACTTACCTTAACGTTTGTGTTGTCATTTAAAACATATTTTTGCTCCATGAGCACAACTTCTTCAAAGTACTTCCTCAATCGGCCTTCCACCATTTTATCCATAGCCATTTGGGATTTCCCTGAGCTTTCGGCCTACAATGTCACACGGTGTCATCTCATCTCATTTCTGAAGCAACTTGACACAAACAAAGTGACCATATGAAGGACTGACCGTATCACACGTATGAGTATGTGATACAGCGCTAATAAAGTGTGGCATGACATAGTCGTGTAAGTAAACTAAACACAGCCAAATATGCCTAACTTGAGTATGGCATAAGTCCTGTTATGAACCAAACATGCTGGAGGAAGTGTGGTATCAACCTGTGTTCGAAGTATTTCATGCTCATTTTCTAAAGCAGAAGCAGAAACCAGTTCTTTTGATAAGAATAATGGCTTTGTTGCAACAATCTGCATCGCAATAGATGACCCAACACTTTTGACAGCATCAAGGAGAGTACTGCTATCTTCTGCTTCTAGTGTGACCAATCCAGCAATACGACCCATACCTGAAGCAAAGAAAAAAAAAGAATGCTCAGGAGTTAAGTGAAAGAAAAAGGGGCCCTTATTTTTTGCAAAGTATCAAAACAACCAAAAAGAGCCTGCAAACTAGGAGAGTTTTCAAATTACTAACACAAGTCAGCTCAGCAGAACAAACAACAATTAGGACCAAACTAACATGCTCAATTATTGTACCTCAGGAGTACCCAAACAAGCATTATCCACTCAGATGAAATTTCATTTTCCTCCTTTCTAAAAGATCGTAGTATTAGTGGAACATTTAAGACAATAGTTGTGTTCAAATTCTAATTTATCATTAGGCTATTTATCATGAGTGTACATGCATGGCTGCATTATCATCAAAATCAAAGAAATTGCATCCGTATACCAGTAAAAGTGTAAAACAGGAAAAGAATTTAAATTCATCAGTGGCAAACCTAAGAAAATAGATTATTTACTAGAATTAGTGTGAATACACACAAACATACTGTGGTTTCTAGTTGTCAAAAAGTTTTAGAATGGTGAAGAGATTAGAAAAGGTGAGAAGCAGGTAATGATGCCCCCTAGTCAGTAGGAAACTGCTTATTAATATTAATGGTTAATCTAATTTAGTCTTGGGGGGGGGGGGGGGGGCAGGAGGGGTGATAAAGTAAAATCTGAAGGATAAAGAATACACATTCTTGAAGAAAAAAAAACTGAGATTCCATCACCTGGCTGGGGACAGGTATGCATATAAGATGAAACAACACCATGTGCAGTTGTGGACAGCATGAAGCCTCTTCTGAGTTTCACATTCTCCCCAACCATTGCAGCAACTTCTGTAACAGCACTTTGGACAGTTGTTTCCCCGCTAATCATCGGATGATCAAGATTGATAGACATGTTCTGCAAGGTTGGAGAAATGTATGGTTTCTTAGAAATGACTGAAACCAGGGATAATATATGATATAAAGCAGCATTATATTTGTGTATAAAATCATGAATCTGGGAATACGCCACATAGGGATAATGGCATACCTCTAAAAGTTCAGGACCAAAAGGCATGAACAATTCACCGGGACCCTGAGAAGATAAAGCCATCTTTGCCAATGATGAAGCCTGCATGGTGACAAAATAGAAAAATATTTAAAACAAAGCCACAGATCTATATAAATAACTCAAAGCATGCAATTGCTACATAACTGATATATCTGCAACTTGATCAACAGATGAGTGGAAAATATCCTTTACATGCATGACTAACATTGTTTACATAATATGCCTACACCTGCAAATATGAATATAGTTCTTGGCACGTAAATATGCCAGCTACCTTTGTATTTCACAACCACTAAAAGAGATATTGGCATTTACTTTTCAAGTGATGAACAAATGATTCAGTGTTGCTTTTTTTCTCGAACGCACAAGAGAGATGCGTATCATTAATATTATAAGAAGAAAAAAGGGGACGAGCCCTTACAAACACACACACACACCAATACCACAAAAACCATGCCACTAACAAATGTAAGTATCCAATTACTATGTACTCGTCTTGAAGAAATGAATTTAAAAACCCTTGCATTTAAATTGTTAATGTCGTTCCGTATGTAACTTGCATTTTATGTGTGAAAGGTTTAAGAAGAGATCAACAAAACAGCTAATTAAGATAAAATTGTTACTGGGGAATGAAACCAACCAGGTACTGGAAAACATCATTTCTTGCTACGAAATCAGTTTCACAGTTAAGCTCAACTACAGCAGCCCTTTTGTCATCTTGTGCAATAGCTAGCAAACCTTCAGCAGCAGTGCGTGAAGACTTTTTGGCAGCAAGAGCAACACCTCTCTTCCTTAGGTCCTTCTGCGCAGCCTCTGAAAGAAATTAACAAACTCAAATAGGAAAAGTGAACTAAACAAATAAGTCAACTAAATCATGACACGGCATGGAGCTAGAAGAGCTAACCAATATCCCAGTTGCAGGCAACTAGGGAGGCCTTGACATCTTTGATTGGAGCACTCGTTCTTTGCCTGAGTTGCTTAATAAGGTTCATTTGCTCTGAAGAAGACACCTCAGAGCTGAATCTCCTAAAAAACACGCCATCTTGGGGAACATGAGTGCTCAATTGATGAGTCTGGAATGCTGAAGACGAGTATGCCCGAGCAGTTTGCTGCTGAGCACGAAAGAGGAGCCCTAGTATGGACTTCTTAGCACCTTGACCACAGGCCATAATCACAGAATATACTGCACCCCCTGACGGCGTATGCGTGTCAATGACCTTTTTTTCAGCCTAAGAAACAATATATGAACATCACAACAGTGCATTTTCCTTTGAGATTAAATCTTTTTTTGAACGTAAACTTTGAGATAAAATTTATTTTACTCTTTTCACAGTCCTGTTAATTATCACTCCAGCAGCCGATGCATTCCATCAAAGCAATTAGACAATATCACACAGATAAAAAAATAACAATTGCAGGTGGAGTGACTTTGGAATGGGAACAGAGTTCAGCGGGCACACACCAGGGACGGACCCAGTAAATAATTCACGTTGCAATTAGATCAGGTCCGATTCCAAATAGCTTAGGTTCTGCTCGGTTTCGCACAGCAGAAAGTGAAGAGAAGGGGCGTACCTGTTAGGTTCTCGTTGCCGGAGAAGGGGCCGACGAAGACCTGGGCATCTGGCGTAGGGCGGCGGCGGTAGCCTTCGTGCCGCTAATAGAGGGGACGCTTTGTGCGAGCGCCGAGCGTGCGCGTCCTAGGCCCGCCTGGGCGCTTGGGCCGCGCTTCTGCGCTTTCCCGTGCTTCGGCGAGCGAACGCGCTCAGCTCTGCTTCTGGGCCCACTTGGACCGCGCTTAGCTTCGCTTCTGAGCCCACTTCGGCTGCGCTTTTCCGTGCTTCTGCGAGCGAACGCGCTCAGCTCCGCTTTCTC